AGAAAGAGAGAGAAAGAGAGAGAAAGAGAGTGTTAGAGAGGGATAGGGGAGAGAGAGACAATGAGAGTGAGTAAAGTGGAGAAAACAAATAGATTCAAAGAATGAAAAGATAGAGAGAAAGAGGGGTGTGAGTAAAAGAGGGTGGGACTACAAAAGATAGATAGAGAGATACCTAGGAATGATGGCGAGAAGAGAGAGACCAAGAGAGAGAGTAAGAGAGAGGGAGAGGCAGGGAAATAGAAAGAAACATTAACAAAGACAAGAGAGAATAGAGATAAGAGAGATAGGGAGAGGGAGGGATAAAGAGGTAAAGAGAGCGAAGGAGGGAAAGGGGGATGAAGATAGGAAGGGAGAGAGAGAAGGATAAAGATAGAGTGATGAGACATGGAGGGGAGAGGGAGAGAAAGGACTAAAGTAACGAAACTAGAAAGAAGGAAAGGAGGGCAGAAAAGAGAGAAAGTGAGTGAGAGATGGAAGAGGAAAGAGATTGAAAGAGAAAGAAAGTAAGAGAGGTAAAGAGAGAAAAAGAAAATGGGAGAGATAGAGAGTGATAGTGGGGAAAGGAGAGCTGAGTAGAAAGAGAAGAGATAGAGAGAGAAATGGGAGAGTGAGGATGAACAGAATGAAGGGTCAAACAGAATGAAGGAGAGTGAGGGAGAGAGAGTGTGAGTTGGGAAGGGAGGGAGAGAGTATAAGAGAGGGAGAGAGAGATACAGGGAGGGATGAAGAGAGGTAGAGAGAGTGTTAGTGGGAGAGAGGGAAAGATTGAGGTAAGATGAAGAGAGAGAGTTAGAAAGGGAGAGAGATAGATAGAGATTGCTAGAGAGGGGTGTGGAAGGGATGAGAGAGAGCAAGAGCAACTGAGGGAGTGTAAGTGAGAGAGTGCAAGAAATGAAATTAGAGAAAGAGAGATATAGAGACAAGAGAAAGTGAAAGAAAGATAGAAATAGAGCGAAAAAGGGAAAGAAAAAAGAAAGAAAGAGAGTAAAAAAGGAGAAGAAAGATTGAAAAAGGTCGAGAGGGAATGAGTGAGAGAAACTGTATGAGAGATCATTGGGAGAGTAGAGATGGGAGGGAGAGGAAAGGAGATAAAGAGGGGGAAAAAGGGAAGTAGGGAAGGAGTGTTTGGCGGTTGGAATGAGGGAGAGATAGAGAAAGAGACAGAGACGGGGAGAGAGGGCATAAAAGAGAGAGATATGGTGAGCGAGAGAAAAAGTGAGTGACAGAGAGTGAGAGAGTCATAGAGAGTGAGAGAGAAGATAAGAGAGATAGAACAAGAGAGTGGTAAAAGAAGAGGAGGGAAGGAGAGTGAGATAACGAGATAAAGGATGTGAAAGATGGAGAGATCATAAGGAGAGTAGGGATGGGAGGGAGAGGGAAATAGAGAGAGGAAAGGAGATAAAGAGGGGGAAAAATGGAAGTAGGGAAGGAGTGTTTGGCGGTTGGATTGATGGAGAGATAGAGAAAGAGACAAAGAGTGGGAGAGAGGGCATAAAAGAGAGAGATATGGTGAGCGAGATAGAAAAAGCGAGTGACAGAGAGTGAGAGAGTCATAGAGAGTGAGAGAGAAGATAAGAGAGAGATATAGCAAGAGAGTGGTAAAAGAAGAGGGAGGGAAGGAGAGTGAGATAATGAGATAAAGGATGTGAAAGATGGAGAGATCATAGGGGGAGTAGAGATGGGAGGGAGAGGGAAATAGAGAGAGAAAAGGAGATGAAAAGGGGAAAAAAAGGGAAGTATGGGTAAGAGAGATTGAGAATATGGGTTAAGGAGATTGAGAGATTGAGAGAGAAAGTGTAAAGAGGTTTGAGATCGACAGAAAGAGGGAGGTGAAGGGAGGATGATCAAGAATGTAATTAAGGAAAAAAGTAGAGGGAGCGAGTAAGGGAGAGAGAGACTGAGAGAAAAATAAAGAGAGAAGAGATTAAGGAAAAAATAGAGAGAAAGAGATATGGAGTGAGAGTGAAAGTGAAATCAAAGAGATATAGAGAGAGCGTGAAAGAAATAGAAGGAGAAGAGGAGGAAAGAGAGAGCAAGAGAGACTGAGAAAGACTGTAAAAGTGTGAAAGATAAGGAGAGAGAGGGACGAATGGGAGAAGGAGGAAAAAGCAGTGTGAGATGCTTGAAAGAAACTGAGAAATAATTAGAGATAGATGAGAAAAGAGAGTTATTATGAGAGAGGGGATAACTTGAGGGAGAGAAGAGAGCAATATTGGGAGAAATAAGTATAGAACATAGATTTATATAGAGATTGAGAGAGGGAATGGGTGAAAAGATAAACATAGAGGGGGTGGCTGTGAAGGATTTAAGAGGGAGAGAAAGGGAGCTAGAGTGGGAGAGAGACTGCGTCAGAGAAATAGAGAGAGAATGGAGACTGAGGGA